CCTATCAGAAATCATGTAGGCTTCATTTTGGAAGAAAGGTGTACTTTCTAACCCTAATTGTAACCCTACAAATCAAGTTCTCCAATCAGGCTATAGCCCCTGGTGACACGCAAACATTTCTCTCAGTGCTTTCCAAAATATTTGATTTCAAAGACAGGTTTCTGATTTGCTGTTGCTGTCGTTAAGGTTTCGGTTGGTTCCTTGTTTTGCTTTTGCTGCTGTTTTATGTAGAAAGACATATTCTACAGTATATGGTGCAGTCCAATAAAATAAAATCCCTTAAAATTCTACATTTATGAGATAATTAAAGCAAATAGGGTTAGGGTTATCACTGTAATTATAAGGACTATTCGAGTTATCAGCAACACTACATAGTAACAGCAAATCAAGGACAATACCATATTAGCGTTAACGTATTAGGATTATTTTTTGTTACCCCGCGTTTCACGGTGTATGATCCATTTCATCCATTTGACAGAAAGAGTATCGGTTACCATTTGTCTAAATGTCATCATCATCAAGGTCTTAGTGTTCATGACGATGATCAGTTCAGCAGATGTGTATGTGTATGAACCATGTTCATCGTTATCTCTATCAGAGTATCCTCCTTTAAATTAAATGTTGTGGCTCTGTTTACTGTACTTTAAATGTTTAGCTTCTGTGGACTCTTGTCCTACAGTTCACCCACGCAAATGCTCCGAGCATAAAATAGAGGACAGATGATGTGACGGAGTGCAATGTTTAGCATATCACTTGATCATTAATACACAGCTTTGTGCAGTACAGTGCTGTTTCTACATGGACCACTATTGCGGTAAGCATGTTGTAACTTCCGGTTGTTGTTGTCATCTCCGGGTATCCCGTGTGCCTGTTCTGTTGCTGATAGCTTATTATCTTAAACTTAATCGATCGTTTTAAAACTCTTGATCACGGCAACTGCCTNAGGCGGGCTGTACAGGGCACCGAGTTCAGGTGTAGACCCAGGAAGAGACAGTCTGGGCTGGGGACAACATGCTCTTTTCTGTGTTTATTATCAGATCAGCAGCAGTTCTTTTTTTTCATCTGTTGTGTTGTAGCAGACACACTGACACACTTGTTTCTACATGGACCACTATTGCGGTAAGCATGTTGTAACTTCCGGTTGTTGTTGTCATCTCCGGGTATCCCGTGTGCCTGTTCTGTTGCTGATAGCTTATTATCTTAACTTAATCGATCGTTTTAAAACTCTTGATCACGGCAACTGCCTGACGTTGTAATCACACGTTACTACAGTTTAAGCACTCACAACTCTCCTTCTCTTAGCGACTGTAACTCCACAGTTGCCTACACTCTTTTCGGGTTACCCGAAAAGAGTGTAGGCAACTGTGGAGTTACAGTCGCTAAGAGAAGGAGAGTTGTGAGTGCTTAAACTGTAGTAACGTGTGATTACAACGTCAGGCANGAAGTATTCTTGCCTCGCTTCTGAAGCAAGTGATTCGGAAGACATGTGCTACCAAGCAAGCATACTCGACATTGAGAAACACCCAGAGTATCAGTCAACCTCTTAGGTTAACACACTCAAACCCCAACACAAACGTGAAATACATTGGCCATAGGTCAAAGAAATGCAACCCGTAATAGATATATATAAATGGGAAATATGTAAATGTATCAGAGTAGAGTTGATTGTCTTCTAAGGGCATAGTGTATTTTGTTTTGACAGGGTATACCAAGACAAATATAAACGTCACATTGAGTTATTTGTCATATTCACTGTGTATGAGAACTGCATATACAGTAGATGTGATTACAGTATGTGGTATAGACCGTTGGCTTTTTTATTCCAGTGTTTAAACTGATATATTCCCCACATATAAAGGAATGGATGGAGGAAGCAGCTGTTGCGGGGTGATGCTGAGTTCAGTCATACCTTTGCAATGGAAATGAAGTTACTGCAACACGTGGTATTTATTCTCCCTGCCTCATTTAAAAAAAGGTGTCTGAGCAGTGACTTGTTCATCACAAAAGCAATTCAATTGAGTGTTTGTCATAGACCGCTGCACTGACACTGTTTATTTGAATAAACAAAATACACCACCCCCTCTTCTCTGGCAGGAAGTGAATGCAATAATCATGCTCTGTAAGTGAAGGGCTTAGTCGACTCCATGAGAAACCATTGGCTGGCACATTAATTTTCCTCAGGCTTAAACATCTCTTTCAGTTTGGTGTCTCATTGATTGTCGGTTTTGGTGGATCCATATGGTTTTACGAAGACAAATGTTTCCCACTAACGGGCTGATAGTCCTGAACAACAACACACTTTTCTTTCTGAAAGGTGAGCAGAATTATGATGCATGTGTTCGCTTTTCTATATTGATCCAAAGCATGCATTATCCGCCCAATAATCAATACAGCAGGAGACACGGAAAATAATTGAAACCCAATACTATTTTTACCTGACACCAGATGTATTGCCCTAACTGTAACCAAAGTCATCAAGTTTTCAAGTATGTAGTACAGATAAGCTAAGATAAGAAGTACTTTATTGATCCCAATTTGGGATATGTTTGTGTTGCAGCAGCATAAAAAGACATGGCATTGTACAATACAAATTAGAAAAAATACATTTACAAATTAACAATAACAAGATATAAAGCAAGGTATTATATGTACATAATTATGTGAAACATGGAATATTAAATATTAAACTGAATATATAAATACAATAAATACTTCCTATTACTGGGATATCTCAGGAACGCCCTGAGGGATTTTCTTATACATTTGGTATTAAATACACTTGAAGTCTTTTAAACTGGCAAAACATGTCGTTGGTCGTAACTTAAGTATCCAGGAATTTATGATGAATATGTGAGTGAATAATACACAAGTCGAACTGTTAAAGGTCCCATGTCATGGCCATTTCTACTGATCATATTTCCATTGTTGAGGTCTACTAAAATAGATTTAAATTGTGCAATTTTCCAAACTCACATTGGTTTCTCATACAGCATCTCTGTATAGTATGCGACGTGTATTCACCAGGTATTCACTCTGTCCTAAACGGCTTGTTGGAGCTCCTGCCCCCCCCCCCCCTCTCCCTGTGAACACAATGGGCTCTGATTGGTCGGGACTCGAGGCTCGCTGCTGCGAGGAGCGGACAGGTTTCCGGGTCGGCGATACAGCGAGACACAGCAAAACTCATCCTGAGCACACACACACACTCACAGCCGAAGTAAAAACAATAAGTGTGGCTTGATATTGAGTAAGAAAAAGGTTTATAACGCTGTGAGAATGGGTCTGCGGAGAGCATTTCTCCACCATCCCAACCCGTCTATTACCAGCGTTCAGGGAGCTCTATGCAAGTCAATGGCGACTCCCTGTTAGTTAGCCAAGGGATCCTGGTGTGTGAGGTGCTCCGTGGATTGGTCCATTTGGGCCAATCCGGTCATTCGTTGTTGATCTGGGTGTTCACACGTCACAGAACCCAGGAAGCAAACAATGGAAAAAGAGAAATGTCCAGCGAGGCGTTCTGGGGCAGCATAGACAGGTCTTTCCTCTGTTAGAGTTTTACTCGCTACAGGGTGTACTTTGAGGGTTTGTGACTCTGCAGACCGTTTACATGCAGAATAACCTTGATAACACACAAGGGGACGGGTAATAACCGGAAAAGCATGACATGGGACCTTTAAAAAAAAAAGACATAAAAACATAAAATGTTCTGATGCAGTGTTCAGGTATTTCAGACATGGAAGAACAACAAGGACGTAGTGTTTGGCCAAGACGATGGGAGGCGTTAGATTTTTGGTAAGCTTACAAGAAGAATAAATGTATAGAAAATCAGGGGAAGAACATCCAACAGAGGACAAGAGAGTAATAATAATAATAATAGTATGTTGTGAATTCAGGTAACTGATGTTATGCAATTGTGACATGTGAGTCTATTAGAAGACAAAGGTTTATTTTCAAAGCTAATATTACTTGTTGTTTATTGAGAAACAAATAACCGGTTGTGGTTGTATTGAATTTAAAGTAATATCGATTTTGTCATATTTGATTATAGGAAATTCATATTTGGGAAAGTGAAAAGTGAAAGTGTTTGATATAGGCTCATAACTTACTATTCTTTGAGTTTAATGGAGGTATCGGCAATTAGATTTACCCATTTATAAAATAAAGGATTAAAACAGCGTATACAGGTAACACGCCAACATATTTAAATAATACCCAGGGACGCGCCCATAGTGCTTCACATAAAGAAAAGTTCTCAATACGGTAAGTTACATGGGATGGGTGCTACATTTATATAGCACTTTTCATACAACACATGCAGCTCAAAGTGCTTTACAAAATGACACATCACAAGTAAAAAATAAAGAACAAGAAATTCCCCTCAGATTATTTGTTACACTGTAAAAACTGTTGCTTTGGTAAAACTTAAAACATTTTTTTTGAGTTGGTGAAACTTACTTTTTTTAGTTTTCCTCTACTCAAGAATGTGTTACTTTGCTAAAACTTAAAAAATATTTGTCAAGTGGTTCCAAGCAATTATAGGAGTTGGGTAAACTCACTAATGTGATTTTTTCTGCATATGAAAAGATGAGATGAGCCTACAATTAAAAGCCCAGATATTAAGTGTAACCAATGCAAATAACAATCTGCTAAGAACCACACGAGAATAAAGTAAATTATAAAACACAATTGAGTTGCCGGAACCTATATACGACAAACTCTTCCTGATTTCAATCCAAGCCTTTAAATATTTGAGAACTTTAAAAGGTACATGCAGCAACATATAACGTTATGTTATCAGGTTAATAGACACAAGGAGGTAAAAGGTATGATGATAAAAATAAAATAAATAACGGTTTCTCTCTGACAGATAAGACACGAGATAACTGAGTCGACAATATAAAATATACAACCCCATAAACCAAAGTTAGCATATAGGTACAACAGAAAGAAAAGAAAAATATTAAGACATAACATAAATAAAACAATATAAAGGTAGGTAAATAATAAAGACTAAAAGAACATTTAAAGTGGGGGGTTGTTAATAACAAGCTAATTTAAACAGATGTGTCTTTAGCTGTCGTTTAAAAATGTCCACTGAGCCTCTCTGATAAAACAATGCAAGATGGACTCCAGTTCTCCTTGTGTTTTCCCGTTATCAGCAGAGACGGAGTGAGCAGCTGAGGGCTTCAGTCAGAGTTCACGAACACAGCAGGAGACCTCCTCTGGCCCTGCATGCCGAGCAGCCACCAGGCGACCTCTGACCCCTCGGCTAGTCACAGGGTTTTGATCCGACCGTCAGCCGGCGGCAGCACAGCTGTAGCAGCAGAGGGAGGCGTCCTCGAGCCCCAATTAGACTCCTGAGTCCCAGCCGGCCCTCCTCCAGGGACCCGCTGACACTGATGCGGCTGTACAGCAGCTGAAGGGGAGGGCAGCGCGAGGTGCTACCTTTGAGGCACTGCCAATCACTGCTTTAAAAATGTATGGCAAACCCTTGTCAAACTTTCTTCATTTCACGCTGCCATTGCAACAAACTCGGGACTCCCGGCGTGGTTGGCGGTAAGGAAAAGCAGCAGGGTCGGACTTGTTCTCTTTGTCTCCCTGAAACTCACATCATTCACATTTCAGCAACCATGGCTTCTCCACTGAGACAATGTGGATGGAGCTGAGCCAGATTATTGTTTGAAGTAAAACCATACTGCTATAGATTTAGATGGCAAAATAACCCCTAACCCTAACCCTAGTTACTTCAGAATCAGAATACCTTTATTCGTCCCACAGAGGGGACATTTACATTTGTCTCAAATCAAAGACAGCTTAATGTTAACTAAGAAGCATGCATAAAAGAAATGGTTAAGATATAAAAAAAAAGACACATCTGTAACAGATCTGAAGATGTAGCAGCCAGGTATATATCGCACAGTAATTAATGGCATATATATATATATATATATTGCACAAATTGCACATATTGCACATAGTTGGTATACTTAAGCAATAGCTCACGACAGGCCGTGGTATATGCTCATTATATCACAGCTAAGGGGCGTGGTTTGGCCCGACACGAAGCGGAGGGGCGACAACCCCCTTAGCTNGGCATTCGGAAAACGAAGAGTGGAACAGGCGAGCAAGTGTGCAGGTGTGCGTCATATGAGAGGCCCCGCCTTAAATTTTACGCCACGGATTTGGGGAAATTGGTCCGTGCGCAAAGCATTGTGGGGATTTTAAGACCGGAGACTACACATGTGCAGCCTCAAAATTTCTCCAAACGAAGTACGTCGGGCTCAGTAGAATTCCAAGCATGCTGGACATTGGAACAGTCCTTCGGCGGCACTCGATGACGTAGTATGCTTGAAATAGTGTCACGGTTTGTGAAACAAGCAGGACCCAAATGCAGATATAAACTGAAACTTCCTTTATTTCAAGGCTATGAAGATATATATGCTACAATGGACAAAACAGAACCACTCACCGCGAGAACCAGTCAGGCCGAACAAACGAACCGACCAAGACAGACAGACAAACCAGGAACTTAGAATACACACAGAGACTCCAAATCACACACAGACACAGGTGAGGAGGGAGGAGAAACACAGGGGGCCAGCGTGGAACATAATCAGGACAATTAGACACACCAGGGAAACTAATGACAAGAGGAAAACACAGGGAAAAGGACCAGACAATAACCCAAGGAAAACATGACATGGAAAACAGCAAAACACCCAAACCTACAAAACTATAAACTGTGACATTAACAGTCGAGAAGTCGTGACATCAACCCGGGCGCCGGCCTCGCTAAGCAGAGTCAAAAACGGATTCGGGCAGACGTCCCAAAAAAACAGAAAATCCATGCAGGATCTCGGGCGGACGGCCGGGCAAGGCAGAGGTCCGAGGAGGGGAAGTCTCGAGCTCCGAACGGTCGGCCTGGGGCTGAGGCAAGAGTCCCCATGAGAAGGGGAACTCGGACCGGACGCGCCGGCAGTGAGCAAGGCGGAGTTCCCCAACGCGACAGGACTGGAGTTGCAGGACCCACGGCCCTCAGACAGCGTCCGGACGGGACGGCCTCAGACATCATGGAGGACGGCAGAGATATCTTGCGGCCGATCTCCAACGCGGACGAGGGACACTGGAGTCGGGGCAGGACCAGACCGCCAGGAGAGCAGTCTGCGGGAAACCTCCAGACGGGCTCCAGGAACCATGCGGGTGCAGGAACCCGGCAGAAGAGGTGTCTGCGGTAATCCCACATGGACAGGAACCATGGAGTTGGCAGTACCCCCGCAGAAAGAGCAGTAGTCTGCGGGACCTCCAACGGCTCCAGACATTGGGAGTTGGGCAGGAACCCCGGCAGAAGAGTAGTCTGCGGCACCTCCCAAACGTGACAAAGACATGGAGTTGGCAGGACCCTCCGGCGCAGAAGAGTAGTCTTGCGGACGGCCTCCAAACGGTGCCAAGACATGGAGTTGTGCAGGACCCCGGCAGAAGAGTAGTCTTGCGGGACCTCCAACGGCACTAGGACATGGGGTTTGGCAGGACCCGGCAGAAGAGTAGTTCGCGGACCTCCAACGCGACCAGACAATCAGAACCCGGGGCGCCAGACTGGCGTCGGGCCTCCACGACAGCCAAACAGGACCCGGGACGAGTGCTGGGCAGTCGGCCGACAGAGGTGAAGTGCTGGAGTCGGCCGGTATGCCGACAAGACACGGCAGGAGCTGGCGTCTGACGGACAGCCATCAGGACACGGGGGAGCTGGCGTCGGACGGACAGCCAACCGGTAGACGAGGTGCTGGAGTCTGGCCCGGTATGCTGACAGGACAATGGGGAGCTGGCGTCGGACGGACAAGCCAACAGGAGACGAGGTGCTGGAGTCGGTCCGGTACGCCGACAGGACTCGAGGAGCTGGCGTCGGCCGGATGAGTCAGCAGGTGACGAAGGAGCCGGAGTCGGGGACATGGTTACTGGAGCCGGCACTGAAGCCGGGACCATGGCTGTAAGGTCCGCGTTCTGGAGCCGGAAACATGGGCTGTAAGGTTCGGTTCTGGGAGCCGGAACATGGCTGTAAGGTCCGGTTCTGGTAGCCGGAAAACATGGCTGTAAGGTCCGGTTCTGGAGCCGGAAACATGGCTGTAAGGTCCGGTTCTGGGGCCGGAAAACCATGGCTCTTGGTCCGGGCTGTGAAACATGGCTGTAGCTTGGCCTTGCGACTCCTCCTCTTAGCAGCCGCCTGAATACTCCGTGGACCTCCATAAGCCAGACGAGTTCCAGAATATGACTCCTGGACAGGAGCAGGAACTGGGGCAGAAGCACCGGTTGACTTCAGACGGAACCCACCAAGGCGTATGGTGCCAGGTTGGGAATTGGGAGACATGGAGCTAGCATGCCTGGGGCTAGCAGGCCGGGAATCACACACTGAGAGGAAGTCCAAAATCCAGCCAGGTAAGAATTGAACTAAACCTGGTTTCTCCATTGCCCTCTGGTGTGCCTCAGCCCGAACAGCCTCTCGCTGCTGACCCCTGGACGCTCCCAACCATCGACTAGAGCAGACAGCCAAAGCAACGGTTAACTCCAATATCTCCTGCTCGAAAGGATCTGCTGGGCCCATATTTCAGGTCGGTTCGTACTGTCACGGTTTGTGAAACAAGCAGGACCCAAATGCAGATATAAACTGAAACTTCCTTTATTTCAAAGCTATGAGATATATGTACAATGACAAACAGAACACTCACCGCAGAACTAGTCAGGGAACAAAACGAACCGACCAAGACAGACAGACAAACCAGAACTTAAATACACACAAGACTCAATCACACAACAAGACAAAGGTGAGGAGGGAGGAGAAAACACAGGGGCCAAGGTGAACATAATCAGACAATTAGACACACCAGGGAAACTAATGACAAGAGGAAAACACAGGGAAAAGGACCAGACAATAACCCAAAGGAAAACATGACATGGAAAACAGCAAAAACACCCCAAACCTACAAAACTATAAACGTGACATAACATGAGAATCGTGACAAATAGTGGCTCTGGAGCATCCTTACTCGAGATTGAGAAACACCTTCTGCTATCTAAAACCTCTCTCTCACTTAGATGTATTACTGATCGCTCGTATGGCACCCATCATTCTTTAAAGGTCTCCTGTTATGCTATTTTTAGACATATATTATGGGTCTCAGATATATACAAGTATATAAAAAACATGTCTATTCCTCTGTTTCAGCCCTGTGAAATGCGGAAACTGGGTCCTTAGCCTAAAAAAAAAAAAAGGAGGTGGAGCTAATGCCTGCTCAGAATTCTACCGCAGATACTCAGCTAAATGCTGCCGTGATGAAACGCCATATCATGTTCCAAACCACATCAAGGATTATTTCTGAAACAGTATGGAGCTCAAATGCTTTTTCTCTTGCGGGTTTATCACAAGGTAAGTTCCTTTTTTTATTTCCTGCTTTTTTACACATACTCTCTCCAGTACAGGTTAGCTCTGAGTGTTAGCGATGCTTGCTAAGGTAAACAAAGACCATATTACTTCCAAAACAGCCGGGCATTGTTTCTGACAGCAACATTTCGGATAGTGCCGTGGGTCTGCATTTCAGATATGACGTCAAATCTGGATCAGCTCCGTTATTCCTCCGTTTTTAGAGATGTGGGTACGGAGGAAAAGAGAGAGGGTCTTATTTTCTGACGCTGCGTGAGTTCCCTGACACACCGGGGACACATCTTTATGCATAAAAGACATCACAAAGTGCATTTTGCATGATAGGTCCCCTTTAATACATCTGGCCCTCCCTCACTGTCAGGTTACCTAACCTAATACCTTATTTATTGTCAGTCCTTTGCCCCGGATATTTTACTTTTACCCCCCGTTCTCAGGACTGGCTTACACTAAATGTTCCTCTTGTAAATACTTACTCTGGAAAACAGCCTTCAGATATTTTACCTTATTTGTCTGTAAACAAATTAGTTGATTGAAACTTGAAATCATAGCAGATAGTTGGTGGATTTTTTTATTCCTACACCATGGACATTTCTAAAAGTCATTTATTTAGAATGTGTCATGCTGTTACTGCATTACTATATTTATTTGTCATTACCATTATAATTGTCTATTTTATTCTGTCATGATGTATCAATTAAATGAGATCTTGAAGCTAATGTGGCTTCCTAATTAAATAAACTATATAGACGTATATCCTGACCTTAGTTCAGCGCTCATTCTGATCACCCCAGTTCAGTATCGTCTTCAAGCTATAAAGGTTAATAGCATAGCAGTCACTGATTTGTGGACATTATTACCCTCTGATTGTTTCTTTGGCTCCTGTGGTCTTTTATTAAGCTTTAACGAGAACAAATCAGACATGTTTCATGCTCTGAGATACCAGTAAGAGCTCAACAAAGAAAAGCTAACACTCTGATGTGTGGATGGGGAATTATGTAAAGTAAGTTCACTGTCAAGTCTTCTCCGATTTTAATGTTTCTTTTATGTATTTTCTCAGTCTGTTCCTGCGTAGTTCATGTGTCTTTGGCAGGCGAGGGTGCCCCTTGAGGTTCTGGGCCTTTCCTAGCTTTTGCTTCAGTTATCCTTTCTCACGTTCACGCAACAAAACACTCAGATCGTCAGGACCTAAATCAGATTTTCTAATCCACACTGCTGTTTCTCCTCCTTCATTTCCTATATAGGACATTCTACTTCTTGCATTGGCACTGAAAATAAATCAAGAGTCTTTTACCTCATTCACACCAACGCAACTCCGGTTCAAGCTCCGTGCTAGAGCTTTTCAGGTTCAGAACCGGTTCTTCGGTTTAGCTCCGGCTCTTTTCACACCGCCCAGAGTCCGACTGGTGCTGCGTCATTGCGTCATCGTTTGCGTCATGACGTTACCGTTTGCGTGCCTGCTTCATAAAGCCAAACCGCGTGGAAACCCCTCACAGCTGACACCGACAACAACAACAATGGCCGATTGTGCTCCAGCTTCCTCTGTACCTCTTCAGAAGACTACTGTAGCATTATTTATTACCCCGTTTTTTTGTGTAATGGACAATTCGGCGCTCTCCGGGGATTAGGCCCACGCCGCCATCAAAAAAAGTGTTTTGACACCGAGTCCGAAGAATTATAATTTTTGCGATAATTACAACAGTATGCGTCTAATTTGCTTTGTCACCTGCGCTTCTTGTGAGTCCGATTTGGACTGCTATACTTGGTACAAATGGTTTTGTTTGTGTTCAGAGTCATCTTCGCAGGATTTACTGAGAGAGACTCCGCTTGTTTTTACGATTGCCGACGAACGGTCTTGAGTTCCATTTTCTCTATATGCGGAATAATCGAATAGCAATTGCATTGACTTTTTGTTTACTTAGGGTATGAATTTTTATGTCTCTCTCTGCCTGCAAAATTTCTTCTATATCTCCGGTTAATACGAAAAACCCTAAACGAGCGTAAGGAGCACTGCACATTATGTCCGGGGAAAACAGTACTTTACCTGTTTGGATTTATTTTGGACTTTCTGGACTAAGGATCGAAAGATATAACTGGATTTTTACCCCAAAAGACTCGTTAAGCGGCTTGTTTTTGTCCCGGTCCTTACAAAGTAATAAAAAAGAAATCCAAGAACATATCTTAAAAAGACACCATAAACCTCACTAAAAAATTTGTGGTGTTATACACATTCGTCGACCATAGTTCGGGTTGTTTAAGTCCTCCCGTTGAACTCTGTATTGTCGAATACCAAACCTAGGATCTTAGACAGTACAAATGAAAGATGAATCGTGGCATATATTAGATCGTACGTTAACTTTTAGTATGAGCGGAGAGTAAACCCTAACGATCTCGTTAACATCTCCGGAGGAATTAGAAAGGCAATTGTACTTATTTTTTCCTTAACACAACCCGGTTCACTTGGACTTGGCAATACAACTTTCTTTCGGTACTTTGTTCTTATTGGGACACTTAAGTCCGACAGAAATTTTTTGTTTGATTCTGAATATGTGTCTAACTTGCGTTAAATCGTTTGATAAACGTCTAGTAGTTGTCCTCAGATGAATACAACCTGATACTTCTTTAAGACGTAGTCTATGAACTATGTGAGTCACGTACTTCCTTCCGTAACAAAATACACGGAGCCGGAAGCGGTCATGACAGAGTGGTTTGTGAAATGAGTTCGAGAGGAAACGAGTCTCTGACAACCCTTTGTAGGACTATCAGGAGAAGGTTATAGTCATCATGCGTATACTACTTGTTTATCCATAGTTGGCATCGCCCTTGTACTGTCCTTACACACTAATGGATCTTCTCGTACGTCCTGACAACTCCGTATACTACGGATACCTAATTGACACTAAGTCGGGAGCTTATCCTCTACTTTGTTACTGTTCGTGAGCTAGTAGAGCTGCACCCTCCGATGTAGACTTCACTTTGTAACTTATGACCGAAAGGATAAGGAGGTAGGAACACTGAGCACATTGAGCGGGAGGAGGAACCTATGCGTCTAGTACACTTCCTGTGGACAAAAGTCCTTGCATCAAACTACGAGACGACACTACTGATGAGCAGGTAAAAGACGCTCTCCTAGTGTTATGTTTCAAGATTAAAATTCTAAAACTTTTTTCAGATTAAAACTCTAAAACTCTTTTTTCAGGATTAAAACTAATAAAACTCTTTTTCAGGTATTAAACTCTTTTCAAGATTAAAACTCTTTTCAGATAAAACTATAAACTCTTTTTTAAAGTTTAAAACCTTTTTCAAGATTAAAACTCTTTTTCTCAGAGATTAAAACGTCTAACCTCTTTTTTAAGCTTAAACCTCTAAACCTCTTTTCAGCGATTAAAACTCTAAGAACCCTTTTTTTTAATTTTCTTTTTACTCTTAACTTCCTGTGACAAGTCCTTGAATCAACTACGAGACCCGAAAGGATCGACACTACTCATATGAAGGTAAGAGTGCTCTCCTTGTTTTTATGTACCTAGGCAGTCCTGATTATCTAAACGATTCGGTGTGTCGTCCATCTCAAGAGTATTTAAGTATATCCTAGTTCTCTGTCTAACATCAAGAGTGTAACTGTAACTTATATTTTATTTGCTCGGAACTATGGTTGTGACTGTGAGTCACGTTGGTCACCTCCACGCGTCAACTATCTCGAGTATCACAAGTCTGACGTGGTCGAATAAGACAAATGTCGAGCCGAGTTAAGTGTGACTTTACATTGTCTGTTATGGCTGAACACGACAGTACTTACGCACGTGCTAACACACTTACATTGTTCTCCACCTTTCAACAGGCAGTATTTCGTGTCATCGCCGCCCGTGTGTCTGTGAGGTCTGATGTAGTAGTATCCGGACTACCCTATATTGACAGAAACCGACAGTGTCGTGTATACATGTATACAGTCTTCTGGTTAGATGGTGTATCCAGTACTTCTGAAGTCACCCTTGTCGGACTGCCGTATCGAGGCGCGTCATTAATAAGGTCAACTGTCGGTCGGTAGATTAATTGCCATTCGCACTGCTACACTATCGGATAGGACGAGAGAGCGTGGATCTAGTCTTTATCTCAGAAGACCAACGAGGCCCTACTTTGCAGTCCGAGAGTCGCTACAGAATTCGACCGAGACAGTAATTCGCGCCAGACGTGTCCTTCAGCTTCACGTAAAAGTCGAGTGTCGCCACTGCCGGGAACAACTGTGCTAACCCGAACACTTTCTCAGTATCCCGGAATCTTCAGCAGTTGGAAGTATACGATATGTAACTAATGGAGGTGGACCGTATTCAGTATCAAATTTACCGAGTGTCTCAAACTCTGCCGGTTTATATGTATTAAGTCGCGGCCGTCATAGGGCTCCTTGAGCGCTCGTATATCCTGCTGGTTTCTGGGAGTAAGTGTGGTTGCCAACAAAGTCCCGGCCAGCCTCGACCTCGAACTTTTCGTGCCAAAAGGACAAGTGGTGGCGTCGCCTCGGTCCGGAGGAATCGAGGCCTTAGGCCAAGCAAGTTTCGTGCGGTTTTTACCACGGCCGGTCTCCGTTTTCGTGGTGTATGCAGTGCGAAATGCAGTTCCGCTCCCCGTCCCCGGTTGTTACTTCTTTGAATTGTTGCGTCGTCACCAGGTGACTTCTCTAGTCGTTGATA